GGGGGGCGTACCAGTAGCAACACAGAGTCTGCCCCGGGCTCCGGGGGGAGGATTTCGCCAAGTGCAGCAAAAGGAAAGCCTGGTTTGTGGGCAAACCCGGCCTCCAAAGCCACCCACCATCCTTCTGGAGGCTCCCTGTCAGTGCAGCTGCTACTGGGGCCGACGACAGCGGCACGGTGTGGTCCTCTGCGTGGGGCGCTCGGTGGCCGAGACGCCCGGAGGAAGCCGTTCTTTATCCACCTCCCAGTCAATTCGCGGCCAGAAAGAGAAGGCAGCCCCGAGCAGGGGCGGCCTGCCCGCCGAGCAAATTGCCCATTGCGCTTATTGTAAATTCCAGCATCTTCCACTCTCCCTGCGTAAACTCTGATTTATGAGGGCCAGGATGCAGACAGACAGCTTGTGATTGGATGTACTGCTCTCTTGTAGAGAATTTACTTCAGATCAACAGAAAATTATTTCTGAAGCTCCTGCGGCCGTTCGTCTCCGTTAGGCGGCATCCGGAGCAGGTAGGAGGCCCGCTGAAGGTGCCGGGCGCCGGAGGGGCGGCCCCTCCTGCCTCCTCTCGCGGCTGGAGCAGGTGAAACGCCCCCCGGCCAGAGCCGCCAGGCACAGCCGAGCTTTCCCGCGCCCTTCCTGAGCAGATGAGTGTCGTTCGGTTTCGTTTGCATCCGCAAGGGTCGTGGCCCACCCGGCGACCAGGTGTGATGCTGAAGGACTCCAACAAGGCCCCCCCACTGAGGACTCCAATCGGGTTTGGGCTCCAGGTTGCCATGACGAGCACCATGCCGTATCTCCGTGAAGTTTGACGAAGGACAGCTTTGAAACGGATAAAACTGTCTGACTGCCAAGCCCGTAGCATTTCGCGACGCCTCCTGCTGTATGTTCAGGGAAGACGCGGCCATCAGACTGCTCAGAGACGTGCCAGGTGGAGCCAGGGTCAGGGCTTCGGCGACAGGGCCGTGCACGGGGGAGGGCTCTGTGGGGAAGCACGCAGCCCCGGGCCAGCCCTAGAAACCCTTGGCCGCTCCCAGCAAGCCCACGGACCTCTCTGCCCCTTAGTTTTCCCCGCCGTAAAGGGGGTAGCGACGGCTCTGACCCGGAAGGTCCGCTGTGAGGATTAGATGAACTGATGTGCTCAGGACGCCCCCGAACACCAGGAACTGTGTGTTTGAAGCCAGTAATTTGATTTTTAATCGTACGATTAGATCCAAATTCCGAACTGACAAAATGAAAAGAACGGGTCGGCCTGGCGCGCTGAGAAGGAGGGAGGCAGGATGTGGGGCGGGAGGTGAGGAGGGAGAGTCTGGGGTGTAGGGGGAGCAGGGCAGCCAGGTGGGGCGTCACCTGCGGGGCCCTGTGCCGGGGAGACTAGCGGGAGGCGGGCAGGCAGCCCACAGCCCAGATGGGTGTAGCAGAGCACAGGGGCCCGGGCGGAGGTGATGTACGCAGAGACACCCAGTGGCCAGTGGCCGGGACCCCTCTGCTGCCCTCCTGCCCCGGACGCCTGATCGGCACCGCCCAGCTGGGGGGCCTGGTGTCTGTGCCCCGGAGCCCCCGGGCTGTGGGACTGCAGACAGGCAGCAGCTTCTGACATTAATTTTTTTTTCGAAATATTAAAGTCCCAAGATGCTCTCTAAATTCTTATTTACCTTAAAGCACAAGTTTCTAACTATATTTATTGCCTTCATCAGAATGAGCTTTAAGACTCCTCTCAGTGCTTCAGTGTCCCGAGTTTATTGACTGGAAAGACAGAAGAGCAAGCGTTTTCGGTGGTTCCCCTCCCCGGGGGGCCCGGGAGCGCTCTCCATCACTGTCTCCCTCTTCAGGAGCCACTCTTAAGGGTCCCTAAGCACATAAACTCCCCTCCACGGGGGGCCAATTCAGGATCTTGCTGAGGCTTCGTTTCCCTGAGCCTAAAATCACGGTGGAATCCGAGGCTGACTAAACTGTAGTCTCGAGCCCCCCGCCGG